CATCCACTACGCCGTGTGTCGATGGCTCCTGCTGTAACTTCCATTCTGTGGCGGAAAGACCAAGGTGACCCCTCCACAAAACCAGTCCGTGGTGAGGTCTTGCCTTCGAGCCTTCGAGGCTATAGATCTTGAAGACAAAAACAATTCAAGTTTTTCGTACGAGGAGGTAACACCGTGGCAAGTGCAACCAGGCCTCCGACTCACCACAGTGTGCCATTGTTTCACTCGCCACTAATCTGCCACCGACTGTAGCAGATGGCAAGTGGTACAGCTAGGCCCCTCCCCCCCACACACAAACAAAAACAAAAACAGACAAGCAAACAAGCAAGCAAACAATCAAACAAACGAACAAGACAAGACAAGACAAAAACGGTCACAAGAACAAACAAACAGAAAGACAAACAACATGCATTAAAAGACAAGCAATAGTCCGCGAGAGTCTGTGGAAAGCCGCAGACAAGCCTGTCCTGTGGGGCAAACAATCTATGAATGATCTGAAGTCTTCGGTCGTCAAGGTCCCCCAGACTGGTCAGTCATTTCCTTGCTTTTTGTCAAGCAACAGGGCACACTAAGAGGCTCGCCACACAGGCTGTCGGAACTCAAAAGGGTTTCGGTGTCAGAAAAATTTTGAAAGTCGGTGGTCAGCAGTTCACCCCCCCTTCGCCACACAGGCTGCCGAGGGGCAAGGTTTTTGGTCATGGCCAGGCGGACAGGCGCCACGGAACAGTCCCTGACAACGCAAATTCGAACGCAATTTTCGAAAGGTCGGTGAGGCACTGTCAAATTTCCGTCACCTGCACGCGGGAGAAAACGGTTGCTGGAGGGCGGCTGTCGAAAGTACCATTCTGACACCTGTCAAAAGTTTTTTGAGCCGCAAAATCTTTGAAAGTCTGCGTGGCGACGCAAAATTGTTGAAAACCGGGTTTTCGACAGCCTGTGTGGCGAGGCCCTAAGTTTCTAATTAACACGCTATTTTCTTTTCGTTTTTGTTTTTCACAAAACAAAGGCCGACGGTCTTCAGATATGGGGGAACCACTCAGTCTTGACATACGGGTGTACTGTTCAGCCACATGGGTTGCAACACAGGCTGCCCAACTTGGCTTAGTGGCCTATCCTGTTCTTTCCTTAAATTGCTGAATTATGCAGAAGAACCTGGGAAACAAAAAGGTGGCCAAAGTCGATAGGGGTTCGTCAGCAGGCACAACCTTCTTCCGCCGAATACAACGTACATTCTAGCTGTATATAGACTGAAAGATACCCCAAATACAGCTAGAATGACCGGATGTTGTATTCAGGGGAAGAAGGTAGCTCCAGTCTTGACATTACAGACAGGCTTACCCTCATGCTACATCCGGAGCACCGCTGCCAGTGGCCAAATCACACACAGGTTCTCTCCAGTGTCTGTCTGTAAGTAGCCCCATCGACATAAGTTCCATTTATTATTTCAATTTACTATCCAACAACCTCTACGGCAGCCTGTCGACTGTCTATCCATCTGCCTGCTGCTGCTGATCAACCGCCTACCCCGCCCATCCCATCGGAGAGCTACAAGTCCCCTTGACCGGCGACCGCGCAGGCCGTGACCACGGTCGCCATTCGTGACCTGGACCCCCCGGTCATAAGCCGCTCACGAACGACAGGCGGGCAGCCGTAGCGGCCAGGAGGGGGGGTGGGCGGGCTTCCGCGGGTTGAGGTCACGGTTCCGGCTGTGCCCCCCCATGCCAAAAAATACAAAAAGACTTGTCGGGGATCGGGGGGGGTTCAGTTTACAGGGTTTTGGGGGGGTCCAAAAAAAATCCCGCCGCCCCAACTTTTCAGATTCGTCGGTGTGAGGGGGGGAAAGTGGGTGTCGAGGCAGGCATAAAAATCCCGCCGGCCCAACTTTTCAGGTACTGTAACTTCTGCTGCAGTTGCAGTACCCACCACCACCCCCTGCCCACCCCTGCCGCCCACCCCAAATGGAGCAGACCCGCTCACACGGGCTTTTTTTTCAGTTTTTCTTTTTTCTTTGCTCATCTGTCAAGCAAAAAAAAAAAAAAAAAAAAAAAAAAACAGGCAACATCACTATCCCATGAACAATGAAGTTGGAATCGCTAGTAATTGCGGATCAGCATGCCGCGGTGCATATGTACTCCTTGTACACACCGCCCGTCACACCATGGGAATTTCTTTTGCCCGAAGTCGTCTCTATGATAAACCAATGACTTCGATACGTTACGCACGTCAAGTGCGCAGCATGTTTTTCGCATCGTTGATCATAGAGACTATCACGGTAGAATCAGTGTTCTGTTTTTCAAAAAATCGAGAAACCAAATTTTCTTTTTTCTTTACTCATCTGTCGACCCCCCCCCCCCAAAAAAAAACAGGCAACATCTCTATCCCATGAACAATAATATAAAGATGAGAAAAAGAGATTGGTCCCATTTAGTTATTTATTTTCTATGAATTAAAATGTGTTTTTTACTCCTTTTTATTTTTTATTTATTTTCATCAAAAAAGAAGTTGAAATCCAAAAAGGAAAAAAAGGGGGCTGTAGGGTTTTACAAGTTACCCCTACAACCCCTCCTTTTTTTTTTGGGCCCCCCAAAACTCCCCCAGGGTTGCAGCTGGAGCCTGGCCAACCGCAGTCAGGACTCCGGTCACGGTCACGGCCACCGGGGGGGGTGATACATAGTCAGAGTACGCAGCAGCAGCATCACAATGCTACAGCTCCTCCTGGCAGAAAGCGGCGCCGATCCACACGAATGGATACACAGAGGGAGAAGTAGAAATCCAACTAATGGACAACAGACAACACGAAGGACACAGAACCACATCCACCCTGTTCTCGGCTACCGGCTCTAATGATAGCTATATATATGTTGCCCATCCATCTACGAGTCAGGTCTGAGTGGGGCACTTTCAATCAACCACTGCCAAGTCATTAACATGAGAAACGACCCTCAGATCTCAATTTAAACCACCAGTTCACACGAGCCTAAGTCGACGACGCTGCCATCCAAGGCTCGCGAGACTGCGACTGCACCTTTTCAAAGCGGCCTCGCCTGCCTGCGCCTTTCAAAGTCGACTGTGACTGCGCCTTCTCAAAGTGGCCTGGCCCGGCCTGCCTGCGCCTTTTCAAAGTGGCCTGGCCTGGCCTCCCTGCGCCTTTTCAAAGTGGCCTGGCCTGGCCTCCCTGCGCCTTTTCAAAGTGGCCTGGCCTGGCCTGCCTGCGCCTTTCAAAGTGGCCTGGCCTGGCCTGGCCTGCCTGCGCCTTTTCAAAGTGGCCTGGCCTGGCCTGCCTGCACCTTTTCAAAGTGGCCTGGCCTGGCCTGGCCTGCCTGCGCAAGGATGAGACGCACAAATAAAAAAAGGACATCCAGCCAAGTCACACAAAACATGCAGGAAGAGGCCTACCAGCAACAGCTGCTTCGGAGGCGGAAAGGCACCTCAACGGCCGCGTCCCACGAAGACAACACACCTCGCGAGGTGTGTTGTCTTCGTGGGACGGCCGAAAGGGAAACCCACCACAGCTATGAAAGGCCGGAAGGGAAATCCAATACTACCGCCGACCCCGAACACAACACACCCCGATCGTCACTCTATCGGGCCGGAAAGAGAGCTTGTATACCTTCAGAAGCGGGGTGCGTTGTACTCGGGGGAAGGCGGTCTGGAGACCAACTACACTATCGATCAAAATTGTTCCATTCAAGGGAATGCCCCGAACACAACACCACCCCCCCCGACCGTGACGGCATCGGGCCGGAAAGATAGCTTGTATACCTTCAGAAGTAGGGTGCGTTCTACTCGGGGAAGACGATAGGGAGACCCACTATCGATCAAAATTGTTCCGATGTCCCGCGTGAAACTCGTACGCATGGAAAAGAGGCAGCAGAGGTGGCGCGTTGCCGTTGGACAGCCACGCCGTCCTTTGGCCAACTCAGCCAGGAAGAAACCGCGGCAAAAAAGGCAAGATGGGTAGGCACAATTAATCAATCAATCAACCAGGTTACAACCCCTCTCTTTCGCCACCCAATGAATCAATCATCAGCTTAAAACCCCTCCCTTTGGCGTATCCGCCGATTTCTTAGTCTCAGGTGGCCCGTGGGGCATCTGCTGCACGCAACGGCCGGCCAAATAGTGAAACCTTTCTTGCCTCTTTCTGACTCTGCAAATGCTCTGGTTCGTCTTTCTCTGAGGAATCGATCAGTCCCCCTCTCCTGTCAAAATAGGAAAGCGTTCCCACACAGAGAAATCCTCCCGCACAAAGAAACTATCTCGGACAAGCCACTCGTGGCCGATCTAGGTGCATGAAAGACAAATACTTAGAGAAATCTGAAAACTTCGCCGTGACCACCCCCTCGACGATACTGCATATGACGTCCAAACTCTCTCTCTCTCTCTCTCTCTCTCTCTCTCTCTCTCTCTCTCTCTCTCTCTCTCTCTCTC